CAATGCAGGGCAGACTCATGTGCCCCCTTAGCCCAGGCTGCCCACCTCTGGGTCTCCCACACCCACTCCAAACCCCAAGGAGACGCTGAAGCCAGACTCCCGCTCTCAGCTGCGGGGCTGGCTGTGTGGGCCTCAGGAGAGGACCGCATCTGGGGACAGGTGTGGTGCTGCCTGAGCCTACAGTCAGCTGTGAGGGTGCAGTGTGGGTAGTGAGTGGCTCTATGTCCTTATCCCGCCCTTAGGCCAGGCTGCTAGCTGCCTATCTGCCCTCCCACCCACCACCCATTGACTTGTCCAAGGAAAGTCAGCAGGACACTACTGCACACATGCAGGCCATGTTGGAAGCAGGGGAGCGACAGCCGGGACAGGCAAAGATCTTGCTCTCCTCGGAGACCACATCCTGTCTCGTAAGCAAAGCAGACATGGCACACCAACCACAGAACGAGCAGGATCGCTCGGAACAGTGTGCGCGCTGCAACTTGATGTGACACGCAGTGCCAATCTCTCTGCATCTGAGGAGGAGGCATCTGAGCTGAGCCCAGTGATGCCAGGGGTCACGGGGGCTGTGAGGGCTCAAGGAGCTGGATGTGCAAAGTGCTCAGCGTGGCACCTGCATCTGGGCAGCGCTTTATGAGCACCTGCAGCTGCTGCCTTCATTAGCGGCAGCATTGATGTCGTCATCTAGGGGAGAGCCTTCCTCTCTGGGTCCCCCAACAGCCAGCTCCCACCCACCCCCAGCTTTCAGACCCACAGGGTAAGAAGGGCTGCAGAGGTCTGTCTGTCTGTCCGTCTGTCTCTGTCTTCCTCAGGTGCTTGAGGCTGACCCTGTGTGCAAAGCTCACCCTTATGAAGGTGTGGTTGAGGGGGGACTATTCCTGGGGGCAGCACCCCTAGGACACTAAGAAACCCTGGGGACCCTGCCCACTGCAGCCCCGCATGGCACTCTTGCTCACCTCCTGGACAGGGCCTCTGGATAGAACATTTCCTGGACTCGGACTGCACTTGGCAAGTGGCCTCCTCCTCCTGCCCGGCCAGCCCGGCCTCACGCACACGGATCTCCAGGCCCCAGGTGGCACCACAGGTCTTCCCGTCATGCATGCAGGGGCCCCAGCTGCCCCAGGGTCCCAGCTTACATTCCTCTGTAGGGCAAAGCAGCAAGATGGACAGACAGGTCAGTTAGCTGGTGGTGAGTGCCCTTTGGTCCCTTTATTTTCCCAAGGGCAAGGCTTGAGCATTTGAAGACACCATCTGTACCTGTGAGGGGCACTTGATCTCTCATTAGGGACAGAAGGGGACACATTTAAAACCCATTCCCAAGAGCCCAGCATGAGCAGAGGGCAGAGACTGCCATAGCCGGAAGGCAGCTGGTGACTACCCAGCTTCAAAGGGCAGGCTTCCTGGAGGAGGTGACCTATAAGCCAACTTGACGATGGAGTGGACCTCACAGCAGGAGAAGAATGCGGTTCTAGGGCCTATCAGAGTAGGGGTATCAGCTACCAGAGTAGGGGTGTAGGTTCAAGAGAGAAGGGGCAGGAGATGAGACTGAAGATCATCTGGGAAGTCCACAGGGAGCTGCACAAGGGTTTTGAACTTACCCGTGATCGAGCACAGAAGGCAGAAGCTACCCAGCACTGCTGGGAGGGAAAGTGAAGTCAAAGGCTTGCAGTTTTCAGCAGAGACGAATTTTCCCATATGTATGTAAATATGTTTTATCTATATTACATTTGATTCATCTAAGAGTGCCTGAGAGGCAGGCACAGGATACAGGCAGCTGTGAATGCCCCCATTCCACAGACCAGCACACTGGGGCCTGGAACTGGCATGGGGTTTGCCAATGGAACACAGCAGGGGCATACACAGAGTTTCAGGTGCCCTGGAGCCTGCAGGGAGCAGAGGGGCAGCCACAGAGCAACTGGGCCAGCCTGGCCCCATGATTCTGCCTCCACTGTCAGGCTGGGGCAGGGGCTGTCAAGTGCAGCTCAGAATGCCCAGAGAAACTAGGGACACAATGTGGGGCACCAGGAAGGCTTCCCGGAGGGGGAGACTCCTGACCTGAGGGTGGGGTAAGGGCAGGAGGTCTGCTGGTGGAAGAAGCAGCCCAAAGTCCCAGGACCACCTGGACCCGGATGCCCCCTGGAGTGGACAAGCAGCAGCGGAGCTCGGACAGGAAGAGGAAGATGGGATGGAGAGGCCGGCAGAGAAGAGCAGATTGCTGAGAGCCTGGACAGGCTCTGCCCAAGCACAACAGAAGCCACAAAGGGCCTTGAGCGGACAGCCACCAAGCAGATTGTCATTCTGAAATAATCTGGCTGCGCAGTGGAGAGCAGGCTGGAGAGCCCGAGGTAAGGCAGGGAGGCAGGTGGAGGCTGAGGCCTTAACCCCAGTGATGGATCGCGGGTGGGGAGTGGGGGCAGGGTGGGCTTGGGAGCTTCGTGCCCTTCCTGTTTTTCCATCACAAGCTCCTTCTGCCCATGACAATGATGACACACTGTGGATTCATTGTCATGTCTCCTACCTGGCATTGAAATGTCATTCTGTGCGGGCAGAGGCCCTGCCTTCTGCTCACTAGCACATCCCCCTCACCTAGGATAGTGCCTGGCCTTCCAGCTGTGATGGTGCATGCCTGTAGTCCAGGACTCGGAGAGGCTGGGGCAGGAAGATCTCAAGTTTGAACCCAGCCTGGGCCTGTTCCAGTACACTGCAGATGACTCGGGCAGGTCCCCTGTGCAGGACACAGTGGCACTGGGCCTCCCAGCACCACGTGCCCTTCTACCGTGATGTGTCCCTGTCTCCCCACACCGGTCACCCAGCCGCTGCTCCAAGCAGGCCAGGAGTCTGCACTCACCCTGGCACTCCCGACTGCTCTGCTTGGTCAAGGTGCCTGGCGGGCAGGTGGGCAGACACTTCCCCTTGTGCAGAAAGAACCGCCTCTTGCAGCGCATGCAGAAGTCCTGGCTGAAGCAGCTGTCGCACGTGGCCCCGCATTCTACAAAAGAGGCCAGACGCCACAGTGAGGGCCCTGCCCACGAGAGGCCCCGGGTCTGCCCGAGGCAGGCTCTGAGCAGCCGCAGCTCTGAGCATGGGGTCCAGATGCAGTGTCTCCTCTGAACTGCAGATTTGGCCAAGGTCAAAATGGGCTGCATATGGAGATCTTTCCTCCTCTTAGCTGTGCTCAGAAAGGGCAAGTGAGTTGCTTGAAAGCACACAGCAAATCTGAGCTGGGGGTGAGGCTTCCCTGGATGTTTTTCCACCAGGCTCAGACGTGATCGTGGTTTGTGCAAGCTCAGACGTGATCGTGGTTTGTCCCAAGTCACAACAAAGACAGGAGTTAGAACACTCTTCTGGGCTAGGCCCCGAGAAGATGAGTAACATGCCCAGGGCCACACAGCAAGCTAGAGGTGATGGTTCCCTGCCGTTAGTGCTGATGAAGGCAGAGAGGGGATGACTGCCAGCCTGGAGCTGAGCAGGTATCAAGTCTGGGCTTGGGTGAATTCCTGCCTCCTCCAGCTGAGAGGGAGGCAGACGATGGGGCAGGGTAGGGGCCACCTACTTTTGCACCTGTTGACCTCCTGGCCACGGATGCCAAAGAAGCCGAGCGGACAATCGTGCACACACTTGCCATACTGGCGGATGCCCTCGCGGCGGATGAGCAGGAAGAGCCTCTGCTGGCAGGTGGAGCAGCCATTCTCCTCCGAGCAGATGACGCAGCCCGTGCAGTTGCCCTCCAGGCCAGTGCCCACTGCCAGACAGACAGGGAGAGGGGGAGAGGACAGATTCAGCACACATGTGAGCCCCCCACACTGTCTCATTGCACTGCTACCTGGGCACAGTGGCACCCAAACAAGACTACATTTCCCAGCTTCCCTTGCACCTAGATGCAGGCATGCAACCATGACAGGGCCATGCCCTTTGTCATCCCTTATCCTTTCTATAGGGTAGAACATGAACATGATGGTTGGAGCACAGCAGTTATTCTGGACCATGAAGTGGAAACTATCCCCAGGATGGTGGAGAGATAAGATCAAAGGAGCCTGGGTCTCTGAAGAAAGCTGGACTGCTGTACCAGCTCTAGACTGCACCTATAGACTGTCAGGATGAGAAAGAAACCAACATCTGTTTTTCATACACTACTGTTATTTGGAGATTTCTCTTATTCATTGTCACATTTAGAATTTACTAAGGCAGGGTGTTGAGGTTGATAAAAAATGCAGTTGATGCATAAATTTTTTAAATTTATTATCAAAAAGACACATTACCAATAATCTTGTCAAAATATTCCCTCTCTCTTTGAATATGCTTGTCGTTCTTGTCACTTTCTGAAGCATTTCTTCTCTTTCTAATTTTTTTTTATTTTTTGTCTTCTTGAGACAGGATCTTGCTATGCAGTTCAAGCTGGTCTTGAACTCAATTTGTAGCCCAGGCTAACCTCAAACTCGCAAAGATCCTCCAGTCTCAGCATCCCGAGTGCTGGGATTACAGGCATGCACTACTCTTCTGAAGCATTTTGGGAAGTCCTCTTTCTTAATTGTCTTTGTTCCACTGTCATGGCTGCCTCAGTGCCCTGAATCCATTCAAAATGTTTACCTTCCACAATCATTTTGACTTTTGGAAAGAGCCAGAAGCCACACAGAGCCAGATCTGGTGTAGAAGGTGGCTGAGCGTATACTATAATACTTTTACGAGTCTGCCTGGCAGATGGCACTCTGCAGCAGCATTCACTGTGTTTTTGAACATAACTCAAAAGACATGAAAGAGGGCTTCCAGAAATGCTTTAGAAAGTGGCAAGAACAGCGGGATAAGCGTGATAAAGTAAGAAGAGTGGGGCATGGTGGTGTATTCCTGTAATCCCAGCACCTGGGAAGCTGAGGTAAGAGGATGGTCCCAAGTTTGAGGCCAGCCTGGAGTACATAGTAAGACCCTATCTCCAAAAAAAAAAAAAAAAGTGAAGGGTATAATTTGGGAGGGCTAAATGGCAAAGTGTCTTTCACTATAACAAATTGTTTATGTAAGCATTCACTATATATTTTGATGGTCCCTTGTATTTTTGATTGTTGCAGGAGCACATGCATATGGGGGTGGGCTAAGACCTTCACCTTCCTGCATGGCTCTGCGTGATATTCCATTCCCCACTGTCACCACCATCAAACACACCCAGTACCATTGGGTACAGCAGGTTGAGGGGAGGAATTTTCATTGCTCCAGAACTGAGAACCATGAACCAAAGCTGGGGAGAAAGAGGTAGAAAATAGCCTCGGATCTAAAGACAGTGTCGCCAAGGCCCATGGGGAGGCTGTAGCGGGTAGGAAGGGCATCTCCTCAGGACCACTTGGAGGGAGTTCCAAAGAGATGCACAGGAAGCTCTCAGACAGACAGTCGGGGCCTGCAGGGGATGCCAGCCACTCCTGCCCCATAAGGATATAAACCTGCATCTGTAGCCCTGCAGCTGTGCCCCTTCCCACATCTCTCTGAGCAGAGATAGTGACCAGGAGAGAAGGCAAAGCTGAGGCGGGGACAGCAGCAGGAGACCGGCCTGTCTTTCCCAGCAGGCTTGAGGGGCTGTCAGGGGCCAGGAGGAGCCTGGCTTAGGGGCCTGTCTGGCTGCCTTGCAGGGGCCCCTGGCTGGCTGGTGCCCAGCAGTGAGAAGCAAAGTGTCAGGAAGTGACCAGGTCTCAGAGGGGGACAGGAAAGGCCGAGCATCTCCTTAGAAGAAGCAACAGGGCAAACACTAAACTCTCCGTGTTTGTGCTCCACCAAGGCCAGTTGGTGAGGGAGCTGGTCACACACCTCGGTTTCCCGAGCCTATGCCCCTTCCTCAGGTCAGCAGGGGGTGGTCCCACCAGAGCCTGACCAGATTATCACTCCCGTGAGTCCAACACGAAAGTGTAGGGCCCCCCAGGGGGAGTGTTAAGGTTGGGATCTGGAACATTCCCCAAAAACTCCTGAGTTGAAGGCCTGGTCCCCACAGCAGCGATGCTCAGAGATGGGGCTTTGGGGGAGCGATTGGATCACATGGCCCTGACCACACCACTGGGTGAATGCGTTGGTGCTTCATAGCTGGTGGACCACTGGGTGTGCCCTTGAGAATTCTATCTTGTCTCTATCTCTGTCTTTCTCTCCCTTCCTTTCTCTGTCTCTCTCTGTGTGTCTCTCTCTGTCTCTCTGTCTCTCTGTCTTTCTCCTCTGATTCTCCCTCTCTCTCTCTCTGTCTGCCCCCGTGCAGTGAGCTGCTTTGCTCCGCACGTGGTCCCTCCAGGATGCTCTGCCTCACCAGGGGCCCAGAAGAGACAGAGCCAAGTGAGTGGGGCTGAAAACTCTGAAACCATGAGCCAAGACAGACCTTTCCTCCTGTGAGCTCCCGGGCATCTCATCATAGTGACAGAAAGCTGCACAGCACAGGTGGGGCCGTAGAGGAGGCGGAGCAGACCCCCTCCCCAGACCTGGCCAAGCATGCTTCCTCCCCTTCCCCTGGGATGCATCCTGCCACCTCCCAGGCCTGATCTTCAGCTCCCTGGATCCTGTGACCCCGTGCTGCTGAGAACCCTGTTTCTGTTGCTTATGACCCAGCAGCCTGCCCTATGTGTGCTGCCCACAAGGACACCGTAACCGACAAGCGCCCTGGCCCCGCCCCAGGCAGAGCACCAGGTGGCAATGCCCGTGATTCTCCTGCCCAGGGATGAGAACTGCAGCAGACAGCAGAGCGACAATTTGTGTTTCCAAAAGTGCACAGCTGGCAGAGACTTGAGGCAAGACAAATTGTGTCAGTGTCGGGGGATTCCCAGGCCCAAGAGAGCCACCTCCGCAGAATTTAACAGGGCCTGGTCTTCCCACTGTCTTGGCAAAAGATTTAAATTCTGACGGTACCAAGGGCTGCTAAGGATAAGAGGAAACTTTTACTTTTATAGCCATGTGCACTTTGCAGGAAAACCTGGCAGCATCTCCTAATTCGGAAGACATGCCTTTTCCAAACATAGCAGTTTGACCTCTTGAGTAAAACCCCAGCACATCAGCACTCCTCGAGGCCTTGTTCCAGCACAGACTGCCCGGTTCTGCCCCAGCCTCTGATTCTGCTCAGGTGGGGCCTGGTGATCTGCATTTCTAACAGATTCCCAGGTGACCTGATGCAGCTGCTTACTCACCTGGAGAAACTCTTGCCTTGTGCACAGAGATGTGTACAAAGATGTTTACTGCAGCGTGATTTAACAGCAAACAGTTGCAAAGATCTAACTCGCCACCAGAAGAATAGATAAGTGCATGGTGGTATAGCCACATACCACAGTCGTATACCATATACACAACCCAGCTGTGATAAATGCGGGAGGTGGAGTTATGGTTATCATTGTGGTCAAAACTCAAAGACAATGTCCGGAGGAAAAAGCAAGTTGCACAATGAATCATGTAGCAGAACATTTATATCAAGTTCAGAAGCCTGCTGAGCTTTGTAACACTGATGATATGAAGTGTATACTCAAAGAAGGCATAGAAGGGATGAGCACACACCAAATCCAAGCTGATAGCACTTCTAGGTCAAATGTGGGGAAAGGGTTTGGGAACCAAGACTAGAGACTTCCCCTGCATCTGTAATGTTTACTTCCCTAAAACCTGAAGCAAATGTGAAAATGGAAAGATTTGATCAAAGTGGCTGGCGGATACACAGACACACATTGAATTATTTTTTATTCTTGACTATAAGTTTAAAATAGTCCATAATAAAAATACATTAAAAGAAAAAAACATTTAGCCTCTATGCTGCCCTGGTCCAGAAGGCCAAATTGTTCCCCTCCTCTTCCCCCAGCTCCGCTCCCTGAGCTGAGGTAGCAGACAGAGGAAGCTGACACATTCTGGACACATGGAAAGAGTTTCTGACAGTGCTGGAGACCCACACCCTGGACTGAGCTAGTCTTCTCTAGGTGTCTTCTCCCTCAGGTCCTAGAATTGATTGCTAGCAATTCACATTGTCTACAAGGAGAGAGTGCATTTCCCAAGATCCTTTGCAGCTCTATGTGGTCATGTTGCCACAACTGTCCAATGAGATGTGAGTGGGCACCCCTTGGTCATACCCAGGAAATGCCTGCTCTTCTCCATTGCTTTAGTTACTTTTTTCATTGCTGAGAGCAAATACCCAACACCTTCAAGTTAAGGAAGAAAAGGTATATTTAGCTCATAGTTTATAGAGGTCTCAGTGCATAATTGGCTGGCTCCAAGCCAGGGTAGCTTGGCAGAGGGGCATCACAAGAGGAGAAACAGTTCATGTCAGGCAGAAGACAGCAAAAACCAGCAAGCAGGGGACCTTAGCAAATTTTTTCTGCCCCTTTTATACTCCATCCAGGCTACCAGGATTAGGGTAGAGCCAAACCAATCAGCGAACTGATTTAGTAATCACCACCCTTAATCTCAGCACTGTACCACATGAATCATCTACACAATCTAGATCAAGCCACCTCTGAAAAACCCCCACCTATGACCACATGAGGCTTTGAGAGAACATCTAAACACAAGTCATAACATCCCCTCACAGAAGAATCGCAGACTTCACAGCTGGAGCCATGCCAGGTTGCGGTGATGGAGAAATCCTACAAAAAGATGTCACTGCAGCCACACCAACCCAGGAGTGTCTACTGCACATTCTATGGGAGTGGTAGGAAGTTGTGATAATCTTCTTTAGGCTGCTGGGCCTTTCTGATTCTCCATAGTGACTGATGGTGTAAGGTCTTCAGGCAGCAGGTGGACACAGACCAATGC